TAAGACACGTTTTGCATGGGTCTTCCTTCTTGAGTCCAAAGACCTTGTTCCCGAAGCATTCAAAGTGTGGCATGAACACATCAAGAACACAACCGGCCTTCAAGTCAAGACTCTGCACTCGGACAGAGGGGGAGAATACACGAGTAAGTCATTTCGCAATCACCTCTCATCCATTGGCATTGCACAAGAGTTTTCATGCCCCTACACCCCTCAGCAGAACGGCATCGCCGAAAGGTTCAACCGCACTTTGCAGGAAATTGCAAGATCTCTTCTCTTGCACGTGAAGCTAGACGATGCATGGTGGGGAGAAGCTGTGAACCACGCCGTCCACCTCAAGAATCGTCGCCCAACCATCGCTCTTCCCTCAGGTATCACCCCATTTGAAGCATGGCATGGGAAGAAGCCCGATGTTTCCATGTTGCGTGTGTTTGGTTGCATGGCGCAATATCGCATTCCCGATGAGAAGAGAGGAAAGTTTGAGAGCAAGACACGTTGGGCCGTGCACATTGGCTTGAGTAAGGAGAGCAAGGGCTGGATTCTTCGGGACCCTCTCCTTACCAAGGAGATTGTGAGCAGGGACGTGATCTTCCATGAAGACATGTCCCTCGCTCGATGGAAGTTAAACTATCTACCTCCTTCTCCCTCTCTCGAAGACCCTCTCCCCACTCCACCAGGACTCACCACAACACCCGCAGTGGAGCCCTCTCCAAGTGCACCTGCTGGAGATACCACAGCATCTCCACCTGTACCTGAGAACAACACATCTCCTCATGAGCAGCAGCAGAGTCAACCTGAGCCAAACCACACATCACCACCACTCTTCACCGACGAGCCGTCTTCACTCCAACCCTCGATGGAGCAGCCCTTATCGCGAGAGTCAACACCTGAGCAGCACCCAACCGCAGAGAAGTTGTCTTCAACCGTACCATCTACTTCTTCACCTCCAGTCAACACTTCAACCATTATCCCTGACGCAGCAGACAAGCCGCCTCAACTCGTTCAACCACCAAATGATGTTCCTGAGACAACCACGCCTTCAGCACCTCCACCCATCCCTGATGGTAACACGAGTCACGAAGGTATCACCGAGCATACACAGCGCCCCAGGCGAGCACGCAAGCCAGTGCAGCGCATGAATCTCGCAGTCGGTGCAAGCTTCCCAGTCACAGCCAAGTGCACCAACCCTCATTGCATGGACTGTAAGGTAGTCGCCATGTGTCACGCCATCAGTTGCCTCCCACCTGAGCCATCCACTCGCAAGCAAGCACTGGCAAGCGCAGAGAGGGCAGAGTGGGTAAAGGCAGAGAGAGAAGAGATTAACAGCCTCCTTGCACAAGGTACATGGGTCCTTGCACCACTCCCTCCCGGTAAGAGAGCACTGAAGGTTAAGTGGACATACCGAGTGAAAGTGAAGGGAGATGGTACGCTTGACCGATTCAAGGCACGCCTGGTAGCCAAAGGTTTCTCACAGATGCCAGGCACGGACTACACAGAGACCTTCTCTGCTGTAGCCAAGTACACCACTGTCAGGTGCCTCCTGGTAATGGCCACGGTAAAGGATCTCCACATTCATCAAATGGATGTGAAGAATGCCTTTCTTTACGGTAAGCTCGACGAAGAGATCTACATGGTACAGCCTGAGGGTTACTCTGATGGTACCACCAAGGTCTGCAAGCTGCTGAAGTCCCTCTATGGACTAAAGCAAGCACCACGAGTCTGGTTCCACACCTTTGAGGTATCACTCCTCACCCAAGGTTTCACCAAGTCACGGTTTGATGCCGCACTGTACATCCTACGCACAAGTGAGGGGGAGTCCTTGTGGCTCCTAGTCTATGTGGACGACATCCTCCTTGTGTCAGCATCCTTGAGTCTCCTCACACGCATCAAAGGTATGCTCACCCAGGACTTTATCATGACGGACATGGGTGAGCCCTCACACTACCTTGGTATGAACATCGTGAGGGACCGCACCACCAAGTCACTCTTCATCTCACAGCAGAGGTACACTGAGAAGGTCCTTTCAAGGTTTGGTCTCTTTGACTGCAACCCAGTTGAGACCCCACTCCCCTCAGACTTCACGCTGAGCTCGCACGAGCAAAGCATTGACCCCTCTACAGTCGAGTCAGAGGTCACTGAGTTTGAGGGTGAGGTCGAGAGCTTCGAGCCTCCTGAGGACTTTGGTCATGACACCTATGCACCACAGTCCATATCCAACATCACACCCCTTGAGCTCTCACTCTACCAGAGCCAAGTGGGCAGCCTTATGTACGCCTCCATTTGCACCCGTCCCGATCTCGCCCATACTGTTGCCATGCTCTCTCAATGCATGACATCACCCACTCGCATGCATCAGCGTGGGGCACTTCGTGCCTTGCGCTATCTCAAATCATCCTCTTCCTTTGGTCTCCTCTTTCAAGGGTTTGAGGGTGCAAGCATGCTGTATGGCTTCACGGATGCAAATTGGGCTGGGGATATCCCTACCCGCAGGTCCACTGGAGGATACATCTTCATGCTTGGAGGGGCAGCCATCTCTTGGCAGTCAAAGAAGCAGAGTTGTGTGGCTTTATCAACCACGGAGGCAGAGTACATGGCTGCGACCCAAGGAGCCCGAGAAGCAGTGTGGATAAGAGGTCTATTGAAGGAGCTTGACCTCCCACAAGAGAGCCCCACTCCAATCTTCATCGACAACACATCGACGATCGCTCTCACCAAGAACCCCGTCTTCCATGGGAGGACCAAGCACATCGCGACGCAGTATCACTACGTTCGAGAGCTTGTGGAGCAGAAAATCATTGAGCCCCTGTTTTGCCGCACGAGTGAGCAAGCGGCGGATTTCCTCACAAAGGTCGTTGCACGCGACATCTTCATCAACAACCGAGTTCAAGCCGGGTTAGTCCCAGCAGTCGGATTTGAGGGTACGGGCTTGCAGTGAGGGGGAGTGTTGTGAATGGCACGCTCTTCACGTGCCACGCTACTGTACCACTCCAACCCCTTCCCCTCAAAACACCCTCGACACATTTTCCTAAGAACCCATCCAAACCACTCAACTCCTCCAAAGCCCATTCCAACCACCCAAGTTACAAACTTCCTTTTCCAACTCATCCACTCCAACTCAAGCCTATCAACCACCTCTTTAATTTCTCCCAACCACCATAGCCATTCCTAATCCAACTCAACTAAGACTTCAATAACTTTTTCTATTCACCTCCAAGTCCCACCACAAGGCACATGACTCCTCATGATTTTCCATGTGCTTTCTTTCCTTACTCACCAAATATTATCCAAGTCATCTACCTCCTCCAATATTCCTCCCTCCATGTGCCTTCAAGCACATGCTTCCAATTCCTAGTCATCAACCTCCACATGCCTCTAATTCATTCCTCCCTTCCTTCCATTCCCAAGTCACCAAAGTCGCCAACTCATCTTTTGAGGATTCATGATTACCACATCACCTCCTCTTCCAAGACACCAAAGTTTTCCTATCCTCTCTATTCATTCCTTCACAAGTCACCCAAGTTCTCTTCCAACACTACAAGGCCTACAACTCCAACTCAACAAGTGCTCAACCACCACCTCATGCTCTACTACTATTCAACTCCAACAAGCATCTCTACAATTTCTCAAGAAGGTTCTTCAATGACAACAATGCCTCTCAAGCTTCTTCATCAAGCTCCTCTCCAAGCTCATTCCAAGCTTCTCCTTCAAGCTCCTCTTCAACTACAAAGGCTCCTCACTAGCAACCAAGTTTCTATGTCTCCAAAGTTGATACTCTCATGCTACTCTCTTCCAAGGCTACCATTGATGGTTACTCTCTCTATGCATGCCTATGTATCCTTCATGGATTTATAAGGCTTGTACTATACTCTCTTTAATATAAGTTTATGCTCATAAGGCTCTTTCTCACATAGTCTACAAAGTAGTTATCAAGTGAAGAGTAGTCTACCTCATACTCCTTAAGAGTATAAGGAAGCTACAAGCTACAAGCTCAAGGGAGGATCATCATCCAACCCAAGGCTTGAAGTCACTCCCAAGTAAACCATACAAGTTCAAGTTCTTCTTTCAAGTTACTTCTACAACTATCCCTAGTAAGATTCACTCAAGTAAGTGTTTATCACCGCTCTTATTTCTTTCAACGAGCTCACACTCTTCTTCTCCTCTAAGTTCTTATCTCATCGAGCATTTCATCTTACACAAGTTTCTCTTTATAGTCACAAGTTCTAAGCATCATCTTCTCTTCCATCAAGCTCATCTACATATGCTACAGTTCCACTGTTCACTCTTGTCTTATTCTAGTGTGCAATCATACTCTTTTGTCTTTATCTCAATTCTCTACACTTTTGAGTCCTGGCTGCTGAGCCCCACAATCTGCAAAACGAGTCAATATCGCAGCTGCTACACTGAGTGAGCTACACTGCTACACTCATTATTGATCTGCAACCAGCGAAATTCTTGGTTAATTTCCTCAATATATAGATGTAGAATTTCCAGCAGGTAAAGCAAAAGTGCTGCAATTCACTTAGAGAACTACAACGTTCCTCCTCTGCGTCTTGAGTTTTGCTGTATGATCTGTTAAGTGCAGACCCTTTTTTTGCAAACACCTCAGTGAAAGTCTTTTTTTGCATCCCACTAAATCCAGGATAAGAAACTGATACCCAGAAGTGCATAAACACAACACTTACAAACACCAATGTGCAAAGCAAGTCTAATCAAACCAGACAAAACCATAAAGCCAAACCAACAATCAATGCACGAACAGGCGCACACACACACGCTCATAAATTCATAATCCACCTTTTGGGATAGCTGACTGCAGCACAGCTGGCATGAGAGGAAGAGAACACAGCAATCACCTCATCACCATCACCAGCAGCAAAAGCAGCAGCAGCAGTAACAGCAACAGCAGCAGCAGCAGTCAGCAATCCCACACGGCGGCTTCAGCTAGGCCACTCAGGCACCAGGCGAAGGAATCAAATAGCCCCAAGGAAGGAACGCGCCGTAAGTCAGCATTTGCTGACCATGCAGAGGCCCTCAGATTCAGCAGAAACTGCCCCAGCAGCACCAGCCGCAGCGGTATCAGCAGCACCAGCCGCAGCGGTATCAGCAGCAGCAGCAGATGCCACCACAGCGGCAGCAGAGGACGAGGCAGCATTGAGCGTGGAGCGGTTGTATTTGAGGTGAGCCTGCACGAGGTGGCCCGAGGCGAGGGCGGAGCAGAGAGAGAGCTCCCCCGCCAGAACTGCTGCTGCCACCACTCGCGCCAGCTGCTGTGCGTTCGCCCCCGGCTGCGTGCTGTGGGACCCCTTCACGCCTAGCAGGGATAGCGCAGCCGCCTGGGAGAGCGGAAGGAGAGAAGAGAGAGCGGGAAGAGGGGAGTAAGGCCGATGCTGAGGCGGGATAGCTGAAGATGCATAATGACACGACAATGACTCGATAGTGACCGCCTCGGCCCGGTGCATGGTGCACACCTTTCATTCTAAATTGCGAAAGACACAAGGAGGGAAACGGCCTGCTCACCTGCGGGGCAAGGAAGGTCCCTCCGCCAACGGTGCCGACTTCAATCGCTGGCAGCGTGACAGAGGCGTGCAGGTCGGCCCCGTCATTGGCCGCCTCTAGCAGCGTGAGGCACTGCGAGCTCTCGACGTTCTGCGCGGGGTCCTGCCCCGTGGCCAGGAACACCGCCGTCACGATGTTGCTCGCGTGCGCGTTGCATCCACCCACCGCGCCCGCCAGGGCTGACCCGACGAGGTTCTTTGTCGTGTTCAGCTCCACCAGGGCGGCTACAGTTGTCTTTAGCACCGACTCGACCTGGGGAGGCGACAGGAAGGGCGGCAGGAGGGGAGACAGGAGGGGAACGGGGAGCAGAGGGGGGGAGGGGAGCAGAGGGGGGAAGAGGGTGCATGGGGGAAAGGGGAGGAAAGGGGGGGAAAGGGAGGAAAGGGGAGGAAAGGGGAGGAAAGGGGAGGAAAGGGGAGGAAAGGGATGGTGCAAAGAGGAGGCGAGGGCAGGGAATGCAGGGGTTAACAAGAGGAAAACGAAAAAAGGAGCAGCGGAAAGTACATATATAGGGCTGAAGGGCAGAGGGGAAGAAGGGCAGAGGGGAAGAAGGGTGGGGAATAAAGGGCGGGGATGTAATAAGGGCGGGGATGTACTAAGGGCGGGGATGTACTAAGGGCGGGGATGTAATAAGGGCAGGAAAGGGAATTCAATGAAGGGCAGCAGACGTACCACGCGGCCAGGGATGGTGACTTCGCAGACGACGGATTTGCCGCGCCCCTTGATCCAGTTCACAGCAGTGGCCTTCTTATCCGCGCAGTAGTTGCCCGACATGCTCACCACGCGCATGTCCGGGAACTGCGCGCCGAGCACGCCCAGCACGTTCCCCGTGCCCTTGGAAACCATGTTCATGCCCATCGCGTCGCCCGTGCTGCTCTCCACGCGGATGAACGCGTTGCGCCCCGCCACCGCCACGCTGAGGGTTTGCAGGCGCGCGAAGCGGCTGCTGCTGTTGAATGCGTCCGCGAGGAGAGCCCAGTTGCGCGGGTTCTCCGCGAAGGCTTTGAGCTCCGCCGCGCGGAGCGCGGAGGGGAGCTGCACGGCGGGCGCGCGGGTCATGCCGTCGCGCAGCACGACGCTGCGCGCGCCGCCCGCGGCGCAGATGGCCTTGCAGCCGCGGTTGGTGCTGGCGACGAGGCAGCCTTCGGTCGTCGCCATGGGTACGAAGAACTCCGCGTCGTCGAGTCGCAGAGGGCCTGCGACGCCGACGGGGATCGTCACGTGGCCGACGACCATCTCGCAGCACGCGCCGCGGATCGCGTCGTAGTCGTAATTCTCGAGGGGCAGCCCCGCGAGAGAGCGGCCTGTTTTGATCTCAACGGCGCGCCGGCGGACCGCGGCGGCGCGGAGAGTGTTGCCGAGTTGGGTTTCGAGGGAATGTATGGGGATGGCGCCGCGCGCGACGGCGCGCGCAATGTCGTCGTCCGGAAGGTCCTGTAACGGGACGTCTGGTAGCGAGAACGAACTGTCGAGCTTGAAGGTGCAGGTCTTGGGCGCCGCGGGAGCAGGCGCGCTTGAAGCGGAAGTGATTGTAGCGGGGGTGGCAGTAGCGGGGGTGGCAGTGGCGGAGGTGGCAGTGGAGGGGTTGGTAGTAGCGGGGGTGGCAGTAACGGGAGTTGGGATCGGTTCGGGCTTATACCAGGGCTCCGGTTGATGGGGGACACAGTGCCCGCGCGAATGGTTGCGCCGATGGTTGCGCCTGTGGCGGGAAAGCAACTCCTTTGGGTCTTTCTCCTCCTCTTCCTCATCTTCCCCCTCCTCGTCATCGTCCTCCTCTTCCCTCTCCTTCGCATCCTCCTCCTCGGAAAGCATGCTCTGCTCGATGGCCGACTGAACGAATCCGACCCCGAAGAAGTTTATAAGGTAAATGAAGGAGCCCATACCGAGGCAGACGGCGACGAGATCGCGCCACAGCAGCTCGTGAAGCTTCTCCGAAGAGTAGAGCTGCTCGCGCCATTGCTGGAGCAGGTAGCAGCAGGAGAAGATGAATGTGAGGAGGAAGACAGTGTTGGTGAGCCAGAGCGGCAGCGGGAGCACGTCCGACGCCAGGGTCCTTCGGCGAAGCTTCTTCGGGCTGCTGGCGTCGTCGCTGTCGGCGTAATGTGGGATCATGTCGCCGGGGCGCGAGTGCCCTCGATAAGTTAGGTATGGGTGTCCTGCTGGGTCCATGTTTAGGATGCGGCAAGGTAAGGCAAGAAAGGGGTCTGTGGACGGTATTCCTGTTTAGGGTACGGCAAGATAAGATGAGGAACAAGTCTGTGGAAGATTCACGTGTTTAGGGTAAAAAAACAAAAGGCGGTGAATGGACGATGGATGTCCCGAATCTGAGGAATAAGCACGAATTCCCAAAATAGGGAAGACTGTGGAGGTTCGAGGTATGGTGACGCCGCTACCCACTGCAGCAGACTGAATGTGCCGCGCAGTAAGTAGGGCTGTGGAAATGAATGCGCGCTAGTCTTGCAAATTGGCAAGCAAAACGTGTATGGCTTGGATGGAGTGGACGGGGTGTGGGTGGGTGGAAGTGGTGGGTCTAGGCGAGGGTCTCAGGAAACTTGACTTGAGGCACAAGTATGGCCTGGTTTGGATCCAACTACCTAAGGTGTTTGGCGCGCACTGATAGTTGCTGGTGGCAGGTCTCGAGAGGTGTTATGGCGAGTCTACGGGCGCGTTCGCGTTCGTCTCAGTCTTCGGGCCAGTAAAAAAACTAAGAACCTGGGGGCGCCGAATTTCGGATCTCCGGAACTGGGGGAGTTGGAAGATCTGAAGCGTGAGCGACACTGGAACTGGGTGGGGGAATGTAACGAATCATTAAACAATATGAAATCACGCCCTCGATGCTTTTAATCCAGCCCGGGCAAGGCGGGCGGCTATGTGCGACGGAGATCGAGGGTCGAGAGTGGAAGGGACAAGACCAACAGCGAGGAGAGGAAGGAAAGGGTCATGTGGCACGAGACGAGACCCAGCACACCGATCGCACTGCAGAATTCCGGCAATTTCCTGTGGCTGGTTGTATTTCAAGGAAACTAGGGGTCGGCGGATCCCCAGTGGTCCGAGGGCTACCCAAGCCTCATAACGCTTCAACAACACCTACCCTCGACCCCCAACACCAAACCTGCACAGGTTCGTTCTTTCTTTTGCGGTATTAAAAAGGTTTTGAAACGTTTCAGTGCGGTGGCATATCAATCTATCAAGGTCTAGATCTGGGACCGCACTGAACCCTCTACAAAACGAACCTGCAGGTTCGGTGCTGAGGTTTGAACATTAGGTGACGCATCCTCGATTAAGGGCTGAGACTCGGATCCTATTGAGACCATTAAATGTATTAGCTATATGTATATACATTCAGATTATTCAATGGCAGGTCTATCTTGCATTCGCACACTAGTACGTGCGAGAGAAGAGAACGAAAATAATGAATAAAACATAGAAATTATTTATTTATCCGTTGGATGACTTATGGAGCTATGGAGTCTTTGAGTAGTACTAATTTAATTCGTAGCCTTTTGTTAAGTTGGGCAGAGTTAGTTCTCTATTGTACTCTTACCGAGTTAAGCCCTCTCAGAGATTCCAACGAGCGAGTAGTCGTTTCAACATAATAACTGGGGTCTAGCCCCTGATTCCCGCGATTTCGCAACCGGCAATCTAACGGTCGGCCGCAATCCACGCTTTACCTAGTCACCTTGCAGCGGCCAGTAGTGGTCAAACACGCTCGATCTGCTCGTGGTTTCCGTGGAAGCACTCTAGTAGTCTTTTCGAGTACGTCCTTTCGTGGCTAGTCATATGCGACGTGGTTTACTGTAGCCATGTCGACTCGCATGGTTCGTCGTTTACTGGAGCAGCAGCAGCGGGAGGCGGAAAGCTTTAAGCTGAAGGCGGCTTCTGGCGCTGGTGAGGGGGAAAGCGCGGAGGCCGCGGAGGGGGAAGGGGGGAGAGCGGAGAAAGGGGGGAGGGAGGAAGAGGATGAGGCGGACGAGGAGGAGGAGGAGGATGACAGTGATTCGAAGCTGATAGCGGCTGCGCGGAATGCGTTCGACCTTCTAGACATCGATGTACGTGGTGTGTGTTGGCGGCAACGGCGGCTTGTATGCGAGGATTTATGCGACAGTTTGTACTACGGTTTGTGCGACGGGTTGTGAAACAGAGAGCGACAGCTTGGGCGACAGCTTGGGTGACAGCTTGGGCGACAGCTTGGGCGACAGCTTGGGCGACAGCTTGGGCGACAGCTTGGGCGACAGCTTGGGCGACAGCTTGGGCGACAGCTTGGACGACAGCTTGGGCGAACAGCTTGGGCGACAGCTTGGGCGACAGCTTGGGCGACAGCTTGGGTGACGGCTTGGGCGTAGTAGTGTACGTTCTGTAGAGCCATTTGTTGTCTCACGCCTCTCCAATATCAATCTCCGTTCTTCAATAACGATGCAGGAGCACAGCACAAGATAAGTGATACACACGCTTTGTCATCGTGGCACAGCAGGAGCATACAGTGCAGGATAACCGATGCCCATGCCATGCTTCCCCTGCTCATCCCTCCAAGTTTTGAAACAACTTATCAAAACTCTCCGACTCGTTTGTCATTATGGCACATCACGAGATAAGAGATGCGCAACCAACCTGTTTCCCCTGCTCATCAATTTTTGAGACGTCTCAAAAGCTCATCAATCGGAGTTTTTGAAACGTTTCAAGGCAGGAGCACAGCACAAGATAAGCATTACCCAGAAATATGCCATACTTGTTCTTTAGTCTGCCAGGTTTCAGGGTTTCGTTTTCTTTCCTTATTATTGCTGGCAGGGCGAGGGGGAGACGGAGGAAGCTGAGGAGGAGGAAGAGGAGGAAAAAGGGAGCACTGCAGGTGGCGGTGAGAGCAGGGATGCGAAGGGGCAGCAGAAAGGAAGAGGTGAGGCGGGTTGCACAGCGGGTAAGGACGAAGGTGAAGGAAAACTGGAGGATGGAGAGGAAGAGGAGGAGGGGGAGGGAGAGGGGGAGGAGGAGGAGGAAGAGCGTAGACAAATGGAAAGGCAACGGAAGAGTGGGAAGAAGAAAAAGAAGGGGAAGGGGAAGAAGAAGGGAGGAACGGGAGGAGGGGGAGGGGCAGACACTGAAATAGAGCGTGCTTTGGCTGCCATCGAGGGGCGAGGAGGAGGAGGACAAGCCGCAGCAGCACCAGCAGCAGCAGCAGCACCAGCAGCAGCTGGGATTCCCGTGACGTCAGCGGAGGGGGGTCCGGTGACGTCAGCAGCAGCAGCAGGGGGGCCTGTGACATCAGCGCGGCCGCTTCTAGCGGTGGAGACCCGGTTCCTACGAGCAGATGACGAGCTGAAGCGCATCTTTGGCTCCAAGGTCATCCGCCAGGTGGAGCGGCAAGCCGGGGGCGGAGAAGGAGGCGCAGGAGGAGGGATGGGTGTGAGGGGAGGTGTGCGGGGGAGGCGTGGAGGAGGAGGGGGAGGGGGTGGGGGAGGGAGTGTGGGGAGGCGGGCGTTGCTGGTGCAGGAGAGAGAGCACTGGCCACCAGGAGCTGTGGCGGAGAAGGGACTTACCATGGAGTTCGTGCGCGAGAGCAAGGGCACTGTTGCTGTTTCTAGTGCCTCTCCTGCTACTAGTGGCGGTGCTGCTGCTGCTGCTGCTGCTGATGGTGCCACCAGTGGAGCTTTCCCTGCTCTCCCCGTGCGTGTGTTTCGCTACGTGCGGTCGGCCACGTACCGGGCGGCACAGCACCTGTTTGAGCAGACAGTGGCATCGCACGACCCCAACCAGCTGGGGCTGTTTGTGGCGCACCACCCTTACCACGTGGAGGGGCTATTGGCTCTTTCTGAGGTCTACAAACAGGTGAGAAATGACCGCCCGTGTGGAGTGAATCGTGAGTGCAGATTGTGGTAGCAGCGAGCAGCACCTGTTGGAGCAGACGGTGGCGTCACATGACCCCAACCAGCTGGGGCTGTTTGTGGCACACCACCCCTACCACGTGGAGGGGCTGTTGGCGCTGTCAGAGGTGTACAAGCAGGTGGGTGGGATGATGCGCTTGTATGGGGTGATACCTTTGCATGGGGGGGACTGTCTCAGCAGCTAGCAGCATGCAGTGTTTGAGCAGACCGTGGCGTCGCACCAACCCAACCAGCTGGGGCTGTTTGTGGCACACCATGCCTGCGACGTGGAGGGGTTGCTGGCTCTTTCTGAGGTCTACAAGCAGGTCAGGAGGTTGGTGGTAGGAGGAGGAAGCTTCCGATGATATTAACCAGGAGACTCTCTGTTTGTGTGTGGCCCACCACCCGTACCACGTGGAGGGGTTGTTGGCGCTGTCAGAGGTTTACAAGCAGGTGAGGTGTGTGTGTGGGTGGGTGTGTGTGTGGGTGTGTGTGTGTGGGTGGGTGTGTGTGGGTGGGTGTGTGTGGGTGGGTGGGTGTGTGGGTGGGTGTGTGTGTGTGTGTGTGTGTGTGTGGGTGGGTGTGTGTGTGTGTGGGTGGGTGTGTGTGTGTGTGTGTGTGGGTGGGTGATGGTGCTTGCCTGGTGTGACCGCGAATTGTGACCACGTGTAAAAAGAGTACTTTTGAGACATCTCAAAAGTACTCTTTTTACACGTGGCTTCTCTCTTTCGCGAATTGTGATAGCAGCAAGCAGCACCTGTTTGTGCCACATACCACATGTCACATGCCCTTGCCATGTCACATGCCCTTGCCATGTCACCTTCTTATTGCTGGAATCCACCCATACTCCCATGTTACTGCATGCCCATCTGCCTCCTCCTCCTCCTCCTCCTCCTCCTCCTCCTCCTCCTCCTCCTCCTCCTCCTCCTCCTCCTCCTCCTCCTCCTCCTCCTCCTCCTCCTCCTTCTCCTCCCTCTCCTCCACTGCCCATTCTGATACATGCGTCATATGCATCCTTCAATATCGCCCCCTGTCTCTTTCTCGTGCCAGGTGGGAGAGGTGCAGACGTCAGCAGACCTCCTTGAGCGAGCGCTCTTCATGCTGGAGGCAGCGTGGCATCCCTGGTTCAACCCCTCGTTGGGAACTTGCCGGTGAGTGTATATGATGATTACTTTGCTCTCTGACAGTGCGTATGTGTGTGTGTGAGTATGGTGGAGCACTTATTGCCGCTCTTCCTGCTCTGGGGACCTGCTGCCGGTGAGAGTGCGCGGCGCTGTGAGTGTGCATGACGGTGCATGCATGCGTGTGTGTGCGTGACGGTGCATGCATGCGTGTGTGTGCATGCCTGAGTGCTCATCGGCGCTCTTCCTGCTTGAGGCGGCGTGGCATCCCTGGTTCAACCCCTCACTGGGGACCTGCCGGTGATTATCCATGATGGGTGGGTGCATGCATGTGGGTACATGCATGTGGGTACATGCATGTGGGTACATGCATGTGGGTACATGCATGTGGGTACATGCATGTGGGTACATGCATGTGGGTACATGCATGTGGGTGCAGGCATGTGGGTGCATGCATGATGCTCTCTCCATTGGCATGTTGGTGAGTATCCATAAGGTATAATTGCGAAGTACATAAACGCATGTGGGTATGTGCGTGGAGGAGTGTGCATTGCAATCTTCCTTCTGGAGGCAGCGTGGTTCAACCTGTTGGTCGGGACTTGCCAGTGCGTCCATGTCTCATGGTTGAGTGATGAAAGCGAAAGCCAGAGCAGATGAGCCCAACAGGGCGCTCTTTGATGCTCTCGTCCGTCACACATGCACCATGTGGGTCGTAGGGGCTAGAGGAGCTGCAGAGGCTGCCATTCTCATCTCATTTTTTGTTTTCTTTTCTCCCGCTCTCTTCCCGTCCCTTCCATTGCCTTTCCGCCTAACCTCCCGCTACCAGTTTGGAGTTTCACACGAGCCCAACAGGGCGCTCTTCAATGCTCTCTTCCGTCACATGCACCATGTGGGTCGCAGGGGCTGCCATTCTCGTCCAGTGAAGCGCCATGTGCCGCCTGTCCCCTTCCATTTTGCCTTTCTCATACCCCCCCTTGTTGTCAGTTTGGAGTTTTCACACGAGCCCAATCGAGCCCTCTTCGATGCGCTCTTCCGTCACATGCACCACGTGGGTCGCAGGGGCTGCATGGAGTTGTCATTTTCGTCTCCTTTGTGTGCCCTTCACTCCCTCTCTTCCTACCCTTCACTCCCTCTCTTCCTACCCTTCACTCCCTCTCTTCCTACCCTTCTCTTCTCCCTCTACCATCAGCCTGGAGTTTTCCCACGAGCCCAACAGGGCGCTCTTCGATGCGCTCTTCCGTCACATGCACCACGTGGATCGCAGGGGCTGCTAGTCTCACCTTACCCTTTTCCCTCCACCTCTTTTCCCTGCCATCCGCCTCTGTACCAGTTTGGATTTCGCCCACGAGCCCAATAGAGCCCTCTTCGATGCTCTCTTCCGTCACATGCACCATGTGGGTCGCAGGGGCTGTCATCGCGCTGCCTTTGAGCTCTGCCGCCTGCTGCTCTCCCTCGACCCCGACACTGACCCCCTCGGTGCTCTCCAGGTGGGTGGATGGGTGGGGCTGACATTGTTCGTGCTGCATGCAGCCTGCCTTCCCTAGAGGGGTCGCAGGGGCTGCCTCTGAGCTCTACCGCCTGCTGCTCTCTCTCGACCCGGACACTGACCCTCTTGGCGCTCTCCAGGTAAGGTCATTTGTCCTGAGCTCAGCAGGGCAGTGCAGTGCCTACAGGGTGGTGCCTACAGGGTGGTGCCTACAGGGTGGTGCCTACAGGGTGGTGCCTACAGGGTGGTGCCTGTGAAGATTGTAAACTGAATGAATAGCTTGATTAGAGAGAGAACAAGCATACATAGGTTTGGAAGAGAAGGTTGGAAGGGAAAGGAGGGAGGTGGGATTGGGGGAGTGGGCTAACCTATGGCCCATTGGGCTGGGTTGACCACACTTTGGGAAGTGGGCCAACGTATGGCCCAATGGGTTGGGTTGGCCTCACTTTGTGAAGTGGGGTACCCTATGGCCCAATGGGTTGGGGTTGGCCTCACTTTGTGAAGTGGGGTACCCTATGGCCCAATGGGTTGGGGTTGGCCTCACTTTGTGAAGTGGGGTTCCCTATGGCCCATAGGATTGCATTTGGGGGCTCCACCACAATTGGGTTGGATTGGCACCCCAAAATGCAAGACTACACCCAAAGTTGGGTGTAGTCCCAACCCAACTGTACACCACAATTGGTGTACAGTCACAAGTGTTAGAATGCTAGAACATAGGAATTCTAACACAACCCCTTGGCATGCGAACACAGGAAAGGAGCAACCCCTGAATTAAGGGGCGCCCGGGTGAGCAAGGCCGATGAGGCGGAGGAGAGCAGAGTGCGCAGGGCGAAGGAGAGCCTTGGTGAAGATGTCGGCCAAGTTGGCCTTGGCAGCGATCTTGCGGACAGCAAGAAGGCCGCGTTGGACGAGCTCGCGGATGAAGAAGTAGCGTAGTTCGATGTGCTTGGAGCGGGCGTGGTAGACAAGGTCCTGAGTGAGGTGGATGGTGCTGGCATTGTCACACCAGAGGGTGGGGCAGGGCTGAGGGGCGCCAAGTTCAGCAAGAAGAAAGTAGAGCCAGCGGGATTCCTGGGCGGCCATGGTGCCAGCGTAGAGCTCGGCCTCGCAGGTGGAGAGGGAAACGGAGGAGGAGCGTGTGGAGCGCCAGCTACAGGGTGGTGCCTACAGGGTGGTGCCTACAGGGTGGTGCCTACAGGGTGGTGCCTACAGGGTGGTGCCTACAAGGTGGTGCCTACAGGGTGGTGCCTACATAGTGGTGCCTACAGGGTGGTGCCTACAGGGTGGTGCCTACAGGGTGATGCCTACAGGGTGGTGCCTACAGGGTGGTGCCTACAGGGTGGTGCCTACAGGGTGGTGCCTACAGGGTGGTGCCTACAGGGTGGTGCCTACAGGGTGGTGCCTACAGGGTGGTGCCTACAGGGTGGTGCCTACAGGGTGGTGCCTACAGGGTGGTGCCTACAGGGTGGTGCTTGCCTGCCTACCTGCTGTCAGTGGGTCGCAGGGGCTGCCTCCGCGCATTTTGCCTTTGATCTCTGCCTGCCGCCTGCTGCTATCCCTCGACCCGGATACCGACCCCATCGGTGCTCTCCAGGTGGGTGGGGCTGACATTGTGCGTGCTGCATGCAGTCTGCCTGCCCTAAAGGGATCGCAGGGGCTGCCACCGTGCATACTGCCTTTGAGCTCTGCCTGCCGCCTGCTGCTCTCCCTCGACCCCGACACCGACCTCCTTGGTACCCTCTAGATAAGGCCCAGAGTCCTGAGCGATGCAGTGCAGTCCAGTGCAGTGCAGTGCAGTGCAGTGCGGTGCGGTGCGGTGCCTACAGGTTGTGGTCTCTGCCTGCCTGCCTACCCTCAGGACGCACCAGTTCACCTGGCTGCACAATTTTGGTGCGCTTTCTCCTTCCTTCCACCCAACCCCAACCCCACCCCCACCCCCACCACCACCCCCACCCCCACCCCCACCCCCACTCCCGCCCTGCCTTACCCCCACCCTTGCCCCCTCCCCTTACCCCCACCCTTGCCCCCTCCCCTTACCCATCAGTGTATTGACTTCTATGCCCTCAGGGCGCACCAGTACACCTGGCTGCACGATTTCGTGGACCAATGGGGGGGTGACACGTCACTGGCGGTGCTGCCAAACTTCTGCTTCGCTCTGGCCCAGGCGAGGCTGGGGGAGGCCGAGGGAGATGGGGAGGGGGATAGGGGGGAGGGGAGTGGGGAGGCGGCCAATGGCGTGACGCCAGCTGGCAGGATCCGTGCCGCCGCTTCTGCTGCTGCTGCTCCTGACGCCGCGTCTCTCCTGCGCGATGCGCTCTTCCTGCACCCGTACGTCTCATGTCATCCTCTCTATGGTCAAGTGAAGAGCTTAAAGCCTTGGACCCTTCTGATTTTCTCTCCTGCGCAATGCTCTCTTCCTGCACCCGTATGTCTCATGCCTCCATCCCCCCTAAACCTTAGTTCCTTCACCCGACTTCACCATGCACTGCAGTGCAGCTTGAGTTGCTAATTGAGATTTCGCTCCAGTAAGAGGTGACTTTTGAGTCGACTCAAAACAAGGTGACTTTTGATTTGTGAGAAAGCCCCGATGAAGACCGATGCATCCTGGGGCATCTTAAAGCCACGTACAAGGTGACCGATCCATCTTAAAGCACCCGCTCTTCGCGAGGACGACACCTGGCAGCGCGTCATTGGAGAATCTGGTGTGGCTGTACGTGGATCGCAGTGCCGTGCTGTGGCGGGGGGGAGGGCGTGCAGGCGCTGTTCAAGAAGAGAAACGTCCTACTAGTACCCATTCCCCTCCTCCCCCGTTCCCATCCTTGCCTCCCCCCTCCCTTTCTCCCTTCCTCTCCTCCTCCCTCCTCCCACCAGGTATGTGCTGAAGGGGCTGGTAGAGAAGGCTCCGATCAAGACCGACACATCGTGGACGTCCATTCTCAAGCACCCGCTCTTTGCCAGGACGACACCTGGCAGCGCGTCATTGGAGCATCTGGTGCGGCTGTATGTGGAGCGCAGTGCCGTGCTGTGGCGGGGGGAGGGCATTCAAACTCTGCTGAAGCGTGTGGCGGGGGAGGTGGTGGCGACGGTGGAGCGGGAGAGGAAGGAGGGCAGTGGGGACGGGGAGATGGAGAGCTGCAAGTGCGTCCGGGAGGTGTCGTTTCCGTCAGGAGCGAACGCGTGAGTGCAGGTTCCGGGTTTAAATCTCAGGGATTAAGGGCTGGGCATTCATGGCTTGGTACCCATTGTTTTCGTCTCACTCGTCACTTCTTGTTTGTTGGCTGCATGTGCTCTGCCACGCAGATACCGCCACTCTTCTTGTTGGCCTCATGGCTTACGTCGTGCTCCTTACCCCCTACGTCGCTCTCCCCCCCCCCCCTGCGCCCGTCTCCTTTCCCTTACGCCGCTCTCTGTTCTTACGCCTCCCTCCGTTCCCCCTCTGTCAATCGTGCCAATCTCAGATACCGCCACTTGTTGCTATCCGACTTCTCAGACGCCGCGCCAACTCTGCCGCCCGAGGAGCTCATGGCGATGCAACAAGACGAAGCTGGCCGGCAGCGCCGCCCGGGAGCCCACGGGCTCGGCTTCTTGATTGGTGCAGGCGCTGGTGCTGCTGGTGGGGGCGGGGGAGGCGGAGAGGGAGGAGGGGGAATGGGAGGAGGAGGGGGAATGGGAGGGGGAGGAGGAGGGGGAATGGGTGCAGGGGGAGGGGCAGGGCAGGGGCAGCAGGTGGATTTAGCAGGGCGGAACCCTCTTATGGTGTTTCTAGAGGAGATGCTGCCATGGAACGACTTTGGGGGAGCGGGAGGTGCGGCGGGCATGGGGATGAATGGGGAGGAGCACCAGGCTGCTCTGGCTGCTGCTGCTGTTGCTGCTGCTGATAGTGATGGTGATGGAGAGGAGGATGAGGATGACGATGATATTGAAGAGATTGAAATGGAGAGGCGATAGGATGGGATGGTATGGGCAAACGGTGAGTGGAATGAAGGCATGGTGGTGTGAAGGAGGAGGATGGGATAGAGGAGATTGACATGGGAGGTGGTACGGTTTGGTAGGTTAGGGCACCTTGTGACGGAATTGGAATTACATTGTGGTAATACTGGTGATTTGGGAGGGGATGTGGTGCGGATGCCGGTGGAGATGTCGGTCGGTGACTCGGTGTACCGCACACATGACAACAAATCAGGGAGAATCCATCAGAAAATAACTAGCAGGTCACTGAACACAGAAGGGGTGACAAACTACGGTACAAACGTGTACGGTACTACTGGTACCGGTACTCCCATACCTACAAACAAAGTAGAAAGAACCAATACCAGAAATGCATCACCAAGTTCTTCCCTCTCCCATTCCTAAGCAGCATGCAGCAGAATCCACTACAGTACACACAAACTGCCCCTCATCCCTGCCCTCATCCACCCTGGATCAAACTGAGGCATGCAGCAGAATCCACTACAGTATACACAATTCCCTCACCTCATTCCTGCCCTCATCCACCCTAGATCAGTCAGACTGAGGCATGCAGCACAGTTGGACGCCACACCACATATTTTGCAGTTCAGCTTCAGCGGTCGCAGTTTCGAAGCGGTACAGCCCGTTCCATTGCGGTTCGGCACACAAAGGGATGTCAGGCCGGCCCCCATTCATCTTCCTCCCGAAAAGGGTTGAGAGAGGACCCACTCCAGCCCCCTTCTACTTCCTCCCGAAAAGGGTTGAGAGAGGACCCACTCCAGCCCCCTTCTACTTCCTCCCAAAAAGGCTTGAGAAGCCACTCAAGGCCTTCTTAGCAGCGTTCCCAACGGCCTGGCCAGCCTTCTTCACGTCGTTCACGGCATTTTTGGCCGCACCACCGACCGCATTCCCCGCCGCTCTGCCCACCTTCCCCACCGCTTGCCCTGCCTTGTTCACCTCTTGCTTTACAGCCTTCCCAGCCTTGTTCACCTCATTCCCTACAGCCTTCCCAGCCTTGTTCACCCCATTCCCTACAGCCTTCCCTGCCTTGTTCACCCCATTTCCTACAGCCTTCCCTGCCTTGCTCACCTCCTTCCCTACAGCCTTCCCGGCTTTCTCCCCTTCCCTCTTAATGCCATCGTAATGCTCCGCCGCCAGATTCAGCCCCGTCATGAGCGGCTTCGGAGCAACAGTATTCACAACGGCGTTCACAACCTTGTTCTGCATCACCTTCCCTATAACGCGTCCGACCTTGCCGGTTCTTTCAATGTCCGAGCCGACCTTAGAAAGCATGGTCGGTCCGTCTCCCACGCCCACCATAGACGCGATTCCGCCCACTGCCGACCCGCCGGCGGACGTAACTGCTTTCTTCGCCGCGTATTCCAGAGCCTTTTTCGCCGCCTTTTCGCCAGCCTTGTTCGCTGCCTGCTTCGCCAGGTCTTCCCCGCGCTTCCTCGCATCGTTGCTCATCTGCGGGCGCGACAGGAGTCCCCTGCGCGCGTCTCCGCCGATTTCCGCCGCTCCGCTGTCAAGCGCAACGTCCTCCAAACCGCTGTCCTCGATACTGTCGCTCTCGCTGTCCGTTTCAGCGGCCTGCAGCGGCGAGTTCAAACCCGTTGTTGTCGCGCCGTCCTTGAGCGCGCGGCGGGGAAGAGCGCGCGCCGGAAGCATTGACTGGGAAGACTGCAGAGAGTGGCGGAAGGAAATAAGAAAACGGGGGTTCGCGATAGAAGAGCACTCGTAAGAATGGACCAAGAGCGGACGAGATGAGACAACGTTACAGGGCCTCTTACCGTAAGCTCTAATAACGTCTGCGGAGGTTCGGCAGGGAGGGGACGGTTGACCTTGACGGAGTCTTTTGGAGCGCGGAGCGATGTGGGCTCCCTGACGTCATCAGCATGGAGAGCGGTGGCGCTGATGGCGTGATGCGCGGCGAGAGCGACGGAGAAGACGACGAGACGCAGGAGATAGCGCGAGAGAGCCATGATGGGACGAATGCGGTAAGAAATTCAAGGAGAGGAATGCAATGGCTGTGAAACGCGAAGCCTTCTCGACTTGTGAACGACGTAAGACCTTGTTAGTAGGGAAACTGGACCCCAGTTACGATGTATTGTCTTCAGCTGCTGATTTTCTACCCGCGGATTACCACGGGCTTCGATTTCCCAGCGCGTCTCATCGTGAGCCTTTCTGGCGACACGCGCTAGAGGCAGAGCAAATTCGAAACGACGCGCCATGAACCGCCTGCTGTTTGGGATCTGCTGTAATTGTGGTTCAATTGGCAGGGTGGCAGTGCCTCGCGCGGAAATCCGGCAGCGACTTGCGGAGAGCTTCAGCCGCGGTTTAGCGAACGACTCGAACATCTGCTAAAAGCGTTGTGATTATTTGTGCCGCCGCAAACCGCGGTAACGACGGTGATGGCTCCTCTTCAAGTCGAGATTATTTGTGCCAAGTTCATCCCACGAATGGGCCGAGATGATAGTTGTGGAGGGGTAGTGGCGAGTGTGCGAAGTGGTAACCGCGTAAGTAAATATTACAGTGCAAGGAAAATTCCTTTTCCTTACTTCGCGCCCCTGCTTACCCCTGCTTACCGCGTACAAGACCATTCCCGCCATCGGCACCCAACAGTGAAATGTTACCCGCTCGCGACACTCGCCTCGACTACGACTCCCGCCACTGTTCACGATGCGACCCAACCTCACAGTTCGGTTGGTAATTCGCGCTTCGGACCTTCGCCTCGACATTTCCCAACCTCGGCGCTAGGCCCGTAGCGCACCCCATTTTCTCGCGTTACCGCTACCACGCCAGTTTCGCTATATATTATTTGTCAGACATATGTATATCTATGTTATAGTTTGGGTAGGCTTAGTGGGGTACACACTGTGGGGTACAACCCCTTAGGTTCATTCTTTGTACCAACTCTCTCGACACTCGACATCGACTTTTACCTATGATTCTAACATGGTATAGAGCATAGGTCCTTAGGACCTAGGATTAGGGCCCACCACGCTTGCCTGCCTTGTCTAGTGCCTACGCGCGCCTCGGCTGCCCGCGCGCGCCTCGGGCGGTCCTTTTTTTTTTTTTTTTTCCCACGTGCGCCGTTTTAGCAGCCCGCGCAGCCCGTTTCGGCCCCACCTGTGCGCCACTTAAGCCGCCCGCGCGCAACCTAGTTAGGCCACGCCAGCGCGGCTCGTCGCCCAGCGCAGCCCGTAGCTTAGCGACCAGCCCGCAGCCGCGCACGTGCGGCCCGTCGCCCAGAGCAGCCCGCAGCAGCACGCAGCTTGCAGCCGCGCACGCTGCCTGTCGCCACGCGCAGCCCGCAGCTGCAAGCAGCCCGCAGCCCGCGCATTCTGTCGCCGCACGCAGCCTGTGGCCGCGTGCGCTGCCCGTAGCCACGCGCAGCCTGCAGCCTCGTGCAGCAAGCCGCCACACGCAGCCAGCAGCCTCACGCAGCCCTCCTGCCTGCTGCCTGCCTGCTGCCTGCCTGCTGCCGCCTGCCTGCTTGCTGCCTGCTGCCGCCTGCCTGCCGCCTGCCTGCCGCCTGCCTGCCTACCTGCTTGCTGCCTGCTGCCGCCTGCCTGCAGCCTGCCTCCTGCCTGCCTGCCTGCTTGCTGCCTCCTGCCGCCTGCCTGCAGCCTGCCTGCTGCCTGCCTGCTGCCGCCTGCCTGCCGCCTGCCTGCTGCCTGCCTGCTGCCTGCCTGCTACTTACTGCCTGCTGCCTGCCTGCTACTTGCTACCTGCTTGCTGCCTACTGCCGCCTGCCTGCAGCCTGCCTGCTGCCTGCCTGCTACTTACTGCCTGCTGCCTACCTGCTACTTGCTACCTGCTTGCTGCCGCCTGCCTGCTGCCGCCTACTTGCCGCCTGCCTGCCTGCCTACTTGCTGCCTGCTGCCGCCTGCCTGCAGCCTGCCTGCTGCCTGCCTGCTGCCTGCCTGCTGCTTGCTGCCTGCTGCCTGCCTGCTGCAGCTTGCCTGCCACCTGCCTCCTACCTGGTGCCTGCTGCCTCTGTCTGCTGCCTGCTGCCTGCTGCCTCCTGCCTTAAGCCAATATGGCGACGCCCAACGTTCTAGCGTTCGAGCCTGACGGTCGTCCCATCGAGTTCACTGTGTGGTTAGACGATCTCCAGCTGTTCCTTCTGACTGATGCCAAAGAGGGCGTTTCCCTGTTTGATTACGTCTCTGGCACTGCCGTTACTCCTGCTGCTGATGCTCCAGCTCTAGAACGCTCCCAGTGGCAGACCCGTGATGCTGCTGCACGCCTAGCTATTAGGAACCACCTGCCGATTACTGAGCGAGCGCACTTCAGCCAGCACAGAACTACTAAGATACTGTACGACGCTATAGTTACGCGCTACTCCTCCCCGGCCACTGCAGCCATAGGTCGACTCATGCTACCGTACCTGTTCCCCGATCTTTCCTCGTTCACCACTGCTGAGGACCTAGTTTCTCACCTGCGCGCTACTGACTCTCGCTTTCGTGCCGCTCTTTCAGCCGAGTTCTGCGCCGCAAACCCCCCCCCCCCCCCCCCGATGTACTTCACTCTCTATTTCCTCGTCACCCGCCTCCCTGACACTCTTAGCTCTGTCAGGGACCACTTCCTAGCGCTAGACCCCACCACTCTCACTGTCGACGACTTCGAGAAGCACCTCCTCGCAGCAGAGAAGAACATCCTCGCTGTAGGTGCTGCTCGTGGCACTCCTCACTCTCCCCTCTTTGAGGGGTGCTCCCCCTCCCCTCTCACCCCCTCCTACGCCTCCGCAGCTGCTGCTCACGACTACCTTGGTGCTGAGGGGGTCGGAGCTGCTTCCGCTCCTAGTGGGAAGCGTCGCAGCGGCAGGGGTGGCAGGGGTGGCAGGGGCGGTGGGGGTGGCGGTGGAGGTGGCGGTGGTGCAGGCGGCGGGGGAGGTGGAGGTGGTGGGGGTAGTCGTGGGGGTGGAGGCGGTGGAGGTGGTGGTGGGGGCGGCGGAGGCACTGGGAGCGGTGGAGGGGGCAGCAGCGGCGGTG